CAAAAGGGGAATCTACTTTTGAAGCAACAAACTGAAATAGAAACTCTCACCTTCACATCCTTTGTCAAAAACAATCAGACAATACTGTTGGGAGTCCCGCACAGCTTTTGCGAATCCTTCTCCTTGATTTAGAGACTGTTCCAGTTGGATCTTAAAGGATTCCAGTGCATTGGACCGTAGATGTCCCAGCATGGTAGCATAAGCAGTGTGCACTAACTGGAAATTTAGAGAAAATTTGAAAATAAGGACGCAATAATCATAAGTAACCAGATCCAGAGTCAACACTATTTAATGCAAACCCACAGACAGAAGAAGTCTTACATCCAAAGCTTTAAGTTTCAGCTGTAGACGCTTCTCTTTTCTTACTCCTTCATCGAAGTATATTGCCTCTGCATCATATCTAAGAAGGGGTAGGCGAAACAAGATTACGCAAAATTACTTTGCTTGGAAATTAAAGACCTTAGGAATAAAAAAAGAGGGCTTACTCTGAGAAGTATTTTTCAAGGATAGAGCTAAGCTTTTTGCCAAAACCAGGAACTAGACCACCTTCTACGGCTTCATGCAACTCCAACCAACTCTACATATTTTATACCCCATTATATCTCACAAAACATTTGAATCAACAAGAAAAATTGAAGGAGGTAAAGGAGGCCACAGAAGCAAACCTCATTGGTTGCCAAGTCGCGTAGCTTCTCATTGGCTATCTCTTCACAACGAACAGTGGCAACCATTACCTTGCAAGCATAAAACAAAAGAACTTTAGGTCACAAGATAGGTCACAAGGTTTAACAACATAAATTTTAATGAATAGAAGACCTTGTGAGCAGGAAGGTCCAAGTCTCTATTCTCTTTTATAACTCTCCAGATCTGCTGGGAGCTGAAAGAAAATCCTGAAGCAGGAACTACACCACGTCTATCACCAGCAAGTCCCCCAGGTGAAATGGAATGGAAAAACCTCTGCCTCAGCTCAGCAACCTATTTAGAAGTTTGCATAAGTCAAGGGAATTGGTCTTCGATTTACTTTGATGCTTCAAAAGAAAAGTGTTTTACATATCAGAAGAATACCTCTTGCTTAAACTGTTTTTCTTTCTCTTCATAGCTGGATAATGCAACAATCATTACCTACAAGCATATATACGAATTATCAAATAAGGAAAAGATAGACAGGTCTATCATGAACAATTTAGTAAGAATACAGCGCTAATCAGATTGAAACATCATAAGAAGCATCATCTATGTTGGAAGAAGATCTCCTTACATTGAAAAATTCATTTAGAGGTGTATTTTTGTGTGCTTCAGGCTTGCGAACTAGATCCCATATCTGCAAAAAACCATAACCAGAACCCAAACTTCAGAGAGGAAAAAACCATTAGAAATAAAAGGAAATTAAGAGAGACTGCATGCTACCTTCTGAATATCTTCTCTTAGAGCACGTTCAAGCAGCTCTATCGGAGTCTAAGAACAAAAGCAGTCAATATAAGAAATATGAAATATGATTTCACCAACAAGAATAATATTCAATTGCAAATCCAAACCTTTGTTTTATCACGTATGACAAAAAGAAGAGTTGTTTTTCGAGGGCTAAACAAGCGCAGCATGACCTACAAAAGCAATAATGACCAATTTATCAAACCTTTAGGTTGCACATAACGTTCCATATGTAAGCACATCAAGATACCTGGAAAACTGTCTTTAGTAATGGTTTGTTGGCAGCCTGTTCCCTTCCAATGTCATGGCACCACCTGTGGAGTTCATTATTTCATTAAAAATTTACCAAGAAAAAGTGTCTAAAATTTACATCATGCTTGTGTTGGTAGTTCTTTAATCATTTATGCGAATTCAAATCTAACATAGTACTTAATATTCATAAAAGATATAAAACATAAAACTATCGAATGATAAATTGGCTTTATATCTATCACCTTCTAACACTGGCTTAACTTTGTGCTCAATGTTTAAAATACATCAGTAATAGTTATCAAAAGAAGAGGCAAGAAAATATACTCACATGTTTATAAGTACAATATCGGCAACAGCGATAGCAAACAGGGCACTTTGTCTCTCAAATGTAGTGTCATCCTAAAAATCACGGGAGCCGTTGACAAAAAGAATAACAAGAGAAATGCTAGAAACACATCAGAAAATTAAAAGTATCAAGTATATGTCTAAGTACTCTGCAGGATATAATTATCCAAATATATTCGAAATTTCAGAAAATTTCTTAGCAAGTCAGCCAAAACCATATTCCTTGGTACTCCTATATGTGTCGCAGTATATATTGCGAACCGTGTCATTCAGTCATCTTACCTCCCCTCTTTCTCTCCCATCAGTACCCTCCAAATCCATAGCAATTGTGAAAGGCTCAATACCAACACACCTAGCCATCCAAATACCCTTAGTTGTTTGACTCCTGCAAAGAAAATGAAGACAAATTTACCAAGTCAACCCAATTTCAACCCTAAAAATGGCATTGCCACAAAAAGATAAAAAACAATATTTGGCAATTAACAATCACTAACCTTCCCGCAAAAGCATCCATTTCCCTAAAACTAGTCTTAAACAAATGATTCAAAAGTGTACTCTTCCCTGAAATGACATACATCAACAAGTCAAAGACTTTGCAAATGTCTTAAGCTGAAGTCAAAAATTATAAAATCTAGTAACGTTGAGAGATTCAGATACCCAGATTCCAAAATCAACAAAAACAACCCCAAAAACTGTAACTTTGATTAGAATTAAGTAAGAAGAAAAACAAACTGGTAATATCATACCACTACTTTGAGGACCCATGATTGCAACAACAGCATAAGAAAGACCACAATCAGAAAGCTTCGTCTTTTTCACGAAATTATCCAAACCCTTAACGTTAAATTCACCATTCCCATCGATTAGCTGAGTCGAGCAACCATCATCGTTTTCCCCCATGTCTATTTAACGAAATTCGACTTCGAACGGATCTACAAAACCCCAAAACGTTATAAAAATCGAAACTTTCGAATGTTGTTGCGAAGCTTTATACATGCATCAGCAAGTAGGAACGAAACTACTTTGGGAATTTTCTCTTTTTCCTTACCGATTTTTAGGTCAGTAATTAAATTGGATGTGTACTTCAGCGTTGTAGCCAAAGATTGAAGAAGAGAAGAAGAGAAGAGAAGAGAACCGCCTAAGCAGCGAGAAATATACGAAGCTTGTTTCTGTCTCTTTGCTTTTTCTTATGAAGAAATGATATAATACTTTTTTTTGAAGATTGTTTTTTTTTTTTCTTTGGCTCTTTCTAGGAGATTTTTCTGATATTTATATATCTAAAAAATAATAGTAAATTTTATTAATAATTATTTATTGGGCCCAATTATCAATAAATCTTTTTTTTTTGTCACTTAATTATTATGTTTAAAACCCACGCTATACCGCTTGTTATTAATACCAAAACCCTTCAAGAATCAAATGTATTCTACGTATGTTGCTTCTTCCGAGAATCACCGCCTTTTTTGTTACGCCTTGCAACAATATTACTAGGGAAATTGTTAAAAATGCCCCTTTTGGTGTGCCCTTTTTCAAAAATGCCCCTTTTAGATGTCCATTTTCAAAAATGCCCCTTTTTAAATCTGAAATTTTTATAAAGTTTTATTCGGTTTATAAGGTACTTATGGATTGTAACTACTACTTGAAGACTCGATCCAAGTATTTATAAGGTTTTATAAGGTGTTTTTAAAGGTTTTACAAGTTATTTTTAAGGATTTTTAAGGTTTTTCAAAGGTTTTACAAGATATTTTAAAGGTTTTTAAAGGTATTTAAAATGCATTTATAAGTTATTTATAAAGTATTTATAAGATTTTAGATACATAGAAATGTAGTTTGTGTATGTTTTAATAATGTTACATATATATTTGGATAAATCTTATATTTTTAAGAGCATTTTTTATAAGGTTTTAAAGAAGGGACATTTTTGAAAAGTGGCATTGAAAAAGGGGCATTTTTGCAAAAGCCCCATATTACTAACACATTGCTTAAGCTTTGAGTTCTCTTCTTTTCTTTGCCTATTTTCTAACTCTTCAATTAAAATGGAAAATTCACCATATCAAATCTCAATGAAATTCAGTAGTTTTTACTTTTTTAGTCTAAAAATGAAGGTGAGGTGAGAGGACAACTGGTTTTCGATACTAAGCCTACTTATGAATATGAAAAGTCAGTTCTGAAAAGAATAAGTCCAAGATGGTAATATGAGAAGAATGATGTGGAAAATAGAAGGATTCTTATAGGACACAAATATTGAACTATATTAATTGTTATAATTCGATTGGATAAAATTTTAAATGATGTGTCATGCTGAGAAGAATCCAAAATGCTGAGGTGTCAGACCTGGAGAGATTCTTAGTTTTATTGTATTGATACAAAGACAAATGTGACAGGCCAATATTCTGCAAACACGCAAACAAACCCAATAAAAGAAACATAATTATTGATAAATCTAATAATTTTTTTCCAGGTAAATATGTTTATTTATCAGTCGCTATATATATTTGAATTTTTTTAATTTAATATTATTAATTCATGAGAATGTGTATTTTCAAACAACAATTTAAAATTCTATGTTCATACTCTACATCGTTTATAAATTAATCAACTTATTTTTTGAAAAATAGTCAGTTTAATAATTCGTTTCTTTTAATATATTTTATATATATATATATATATATATATATATATATATATATATATATATATATTTTGTCGTCGTCAACCAACCATTACATTGATATCAATCAAGATACATTGTTCCATGCTATTACATAACTTTGCTTAGACATTCTTGCTTGTTTAGCTAAACTATCTGCCACAACATTAGCTAATCTTGAGATTTTCATAAAGCTGTATGTGTTTTGCGTTATCCGCAGAATATCTCTAATGTAGATATATATATATTTTAACATTAATATATTTTATATTTATTTGAAACTAAATTATAGAGAAGAAGAAACATAAGGCGTTGGGTTAGGCGATGACAAGAAGAACTCTCATGTCATACAATCGATCGCATACAATGTGAAGTAAACACAGATGATAAAAGTGTGAATGGAAGAACTATTATATGATTCTAGAGACTTTCTCTCATTGCACTACGAGATGCAATGAGCAGTAGTTGTAAACTGAAAAAAAAAGATATACCAGAAAAAAAAAAACTTAAATAGTCCTCCTCTTCTTTGAATGCAGATTCTTGTTTTCATCTAAACTTTCCTGCATTTGCAGATTCTTCTTCTTCTCATCTAAACTTTTCGGCATTTGCAGATTACTTATGACAAGACTCATTATAGAAGATTCCAAGGCTCTTATCATGTGGTTGGCTGATGAGTTTTCTGCTTCCTTTTTCGTTGATTCTGCATCTCCCTTCATGTAAAAGGTACCCTTCTATACTTGGGATCTCAATCTTAACTGAACAAACAAATTTCAACTCATTTTTTGGCCCTCTTTCTTCCTCAACACTGGAAAAAGTTAAACATAGTAACAAAAAGTGTTTTAAGTTAATAAGCCACATTCGTGCTTATTGAGGCACACAAAGTTAAAAACATACCTGAAAATCGGATTCGGCCACTTATTCTTGGTGCAAATCTCAAACAACTTCCCTTTCTCATCTTCAGGTTCAACATGTGGAATATTCTCATCAATAACCATTTGTTCTTGTGTCGGTTCATCGGTTGACAGGTTCTCAGAGGCAGTGGGCAACGAAGATGATCCAGTCAGTGTCTGGAGCTTTCTATTAGAGCTAATATCAAACGACTTCCCTTTCACATCTTCAGGTTCAACATATGGACTATTCTCATCAATAACCATTTGTTCTTGTGTCAGTTCATCGGTTAAAGGGTTTTCAAAGGCGATGAGCAAAGAAGATGTTTCAGTGGAGGAAATCTCAAACGACTTCCCTTTCACATCTTCAGGTTCAACATGTGGACTAACCTCTCCAATAACCATTTTTGTTGGTGTAATTTCACATGGTAAGGGGTTCTCAGAGACAGTGGGCATAGAAGATGATCCAGTTTGTAATTGGAGCTCTTCAGTGTAGCGAATCTCAAACAACTTCCGTTCCACATCTAGACTATCCTCATCGATAACCATTTGTTCTTTTGTCATTTCATCAGTTAAAGGGTTCTCAGAGGCAGTGAGCAAAGAAGATGATCCAGTCTGAATTTCAGCTTCTAGATTATCTTGATGAATAATCTTTTCGATGAGCATACATTCTGACAGCTTCTGCAACGCTTCCTCAGCAGCAAGCAGCTTTGCGGTATCGATACGTTTAGAACACCCGGAAGCTATAAACATATCGTCAAGATATACCTGAGCAATATTTTTTCTGCTGCCATCAACTTTCGAATACCTGAAGTCGATTCGCTTGCCATGTTTATCAGCCAAACGAAAAAGCATAAGAAATGGTGGTTTAGGCTGCATCCGTAAATCATCCAGTGTATATATTGGCTCGAAGAGACCCCTGAAGATCTGCAAATTTCCTATCTTTTTAAAATAAATTGAGAATCTAGTGAAAGAAACACAAATCTGTGAAAGAAACAGAAACACAAATCTAGCGAAAGAAACACAAATCTAGTGAAAGAAACACAACAAACCTCCCAGAGTCGTTGTACATTATAATTTACATCAATATCATCCAGTGTATATATTGGCTCGAAGAGACCCCTGAAGATCTGCAAATTTCCTATCTTTTTAAAATAAATTGAGAATCTAGTGAAAGAAACACAAATCTGTGAAAGAAACAGAAACACAAATCTAGCGAAAGAAACACAAATCTAGTGAAAGAAACACAACAAACCTCCCAGAGTCGTTGTACATTATAATTTACATCAATATCATCCAGTGTATATATTGGCTCGAAGAGACCCCTGAAGATCTGCAAATTTCCTATCTTTTTAAAATAAATTGAGAATCTAGTGAAAGAAACACAAATCTGTGAAAGAAACAGAAACACAAATCTAGCGAAAGAAACACAAATCTAGTGAAAGAAACACAACAAACCTCCCAGAGTCGTTGTACATTATAATTTACATCAATATAAACAGCTCCAGCTACAGCAGCTACAAGATTAGCGAGAATTTTTGGGGCTTTCACAACTCTGTATGGATCTGGATCAGGATCATCTTCTTTGCCCATCATATCTATGAAGTCTAAAATCTAAGATATGACACAAGAACTGATGAGTATATCATAAGAACAGAGATGTTCTCAATTCACAATAAATGAATTTTAATTTACCATTCTTTCTGGCTTTTCAACATTGCTTATAATGAACTGGTAGATGCCTTTTTTGACGGCTACGCGAGCGTATCTGTCGTTACATGCATTAGCATCTCGCAGCAGAGACAAATCCTTGGGTTCAAGCTTAGGGTACGTGAGGTATAAGTGTTTCGTAAAGGCAAGAGAAAGAGCCGGCTCACCGACGAACATAAGCCGCTGGAATAAAGGTGAAGTATTGTGTGTTAGCAGTTCATTCAGAAGATTCTTGTTCACGAAACTGTAATTCAAGATCTTCTCCACTGCTTCCACTGAATCAGAATCCATCAATGGATTATTCTTCTCATCTAAACTTTCCGGCATTTGCAGATTACTTATGACAAGACTCATTAGAGAAGATTCTAAGGCTCTTATCATGTGGTATGCTGAGGAGTTTTCTGCTTGCTTTTTCTTTGATTTTGCATCTCCCTTCATGTGAAAGGAACCTTCTATATTTGGTATCTCAATCTTAACTGAACAAACAAATTTCTGCTCATTTTTTGGCCCTCTTTCTTCCTCAACACTGGAAAAAGTTAAACACAGTAACACAAAAATTTTAAGTTAATACGCCACATTCGTGCTTATTGAGGCATACAAAGTAAAAAATAACTACCTCACATTGATCTTACGAGTATAGTTTAACCACGGATTCGCAAACACATTATCCTTCTTTGAGACTATAAGACTCTATACTAAAAGAAAAAGTCCTATCTAAAGAAAAAGAAAAGAAAAATGTAGAAATAAGATATACCTGAAAATCGGCCTCGGCCACTTATTTTTGGTGCAAATCTCAATCAACTTCCCTCTCCCATCTGTGGGTTCAACATGTAGACTATCCTTATCAACAACCATTTGTTTTGTAGTCATTTCATAGGTTAAAGGGTTTGCAGAGGAACCAGTCTGTATTTGGAGCTTTCTAGTATAGCAAATCTCAAACAACTTCCCTTTCACATCTTCAGGTTCAACATCTGGACTATCCTCATCAAAAACCATTTCTTCTTGTGTCATTTCATCGGCTAAAGAGTTCTCAGAGGCGGTGGACAGAGAAGATAATTCAGTTTGTAATTGGAGATTTCCAGTGGAGCAAATCACAAACGACTTCCCTTTCACATCTTCAGGTTCAACATGTGGACTATCCTCATTGATAATCTTTTCAATAGGCATAATTTCCAGCTTTCGTATCGCTTCCTCAGCAGCAATCAAGATATACCTCAGCAATATGTTGTTTGCTGTCGTCATCTTTCGAATACCTGAAGTCGATTCGCTTGCCGTGTTTATCAGTCAAACGAAAAAGCGTAAGAAATGGTGGTTTCGGTTGCATCTGTAAATCCTCCGGTGTATATATTGGCTCCAAAAGACTCCTAAAGATCTGCAAAATTTCCTCTCTTTTTATCATATAACATAGAAATTAGAAAACACAAATCTAGTGATTGACAGCGACACGAGCGAACTTCTCGTTACTTACATTAGCAGTTCGCAAGTCACACAACTCCTTGACTTTGAGGTTAGGGTAAGTGTGGCGGATGTAATTAGTGAAGGCGACCTCAAGAACAGAGTCACCGAAGAACTCAAGCCGGTCGAATAAAGTAGATCTTTGTGTTATAGCATCTTTGAGAAGAGTCTTGTTCGTGAAACTGTAGTTCAAGATCTTCTCTACTGCTTCTACTGAGTCCATCTCCGGTGGAAAAGGTGAATTTAGTAGGTCACACAAGCATGACCAGTCCTAAGGTGAAATCTTATTATATAAACCCGTAACTTTATTTTTTGAGGTTTTAAACACCTGACCTTTACTAATACATGAATTTAAGCCCTTAATCTTTTTATTCACCCCCATTTATTTTAACCAATCAAAATTCGCCACATAATAAAATAAATTAAATTCAGTTAATTATTAAATCTAATCCCTAACCACTCTTTTATAAACCCAAACCGATATATAATCTCGTTTAATTACAAAATCTAAACCCTAATTTTCCTTCGTAAACCCAAACCGCCATTTAAACTCGTTTAATCGTAAAAAATCTAAACCTTAATCGTATTTTCTAAACTCAAACCGACATTTAAACTCGTTTAATAGTAAAAAATCTAAACCCTAATCGTACTTTTTAAACTCAAACCGACATTTAATTTCGTTTAATTGTAAAAGCTAAACCTGTTTATAATCCTAAACCGATATTTAACCTCGTTTAGTCATAAAATCTAAACCCTAACCCTTTCAAATAAACCCAAACCGATATATAATTTCGTTTTAGTGGCAAATTAGATTTTTAAATTAATTTTTTTTTATTATTATTATTATTATTAGGTAGCATATTCTTATTGGCTGAAATAGGGGGTGAATATAAAGAGTTCACCCCTAGGGGTAAATCCAAGTATTTTTTTTTTTCTTCCATAGAGATGGGTGATCCGGACTTTTACAAGCCGACTAATCCCTAAGGGTGAGTGTAGCCGTCGAGTATGTCACTCATCAGGTTTTCTAATGAGAAGCATGATACCATTTCGGCAAGCCAAATTGAGTGATTTAATAAATTTCGTGTTTGAGAGTAATCGATCCCTAACCGTATAATGACAACCAAGTATAAATTTCCCGATTGTGCATTTTTTTTTCTAAATCATCTGAGCTTTCAATTAACTCACTCATGTATAAGATTTTTGTTCGATCTTAGGCTTCGTTTATTCAAGATAATAGTAGAAATTATATCCAAACTAAAGTTTATTATGCATGGTTTAGTTTCAGTTTCGGTTCGGATTCGAGTTGTAGTCAAATCTATATATACATTTTAAGTACATTTTAAGTACATTTTAGAGATAACCATTTTGTTTTCTAGACTATTTACAAAGAATGTCATTTCTTATACTAGATTTGTGACCCCGCGCAATGCGCGGGATTTTACTTATAAACTATTAACAATATAAGCCGTGAATATAAATATATATATATTGAATTTTAAAAGATAAATCTATAATGATATATAACATAGATTTTATTGAGAATAATGTTTTTTTTTTTTTTTTGTCAACAACTTTATTAGATTAGCTTATACAAGCCAATTTTGGGGGATATTGTTTACATAGGTAATTAGATGCGGTTGGGTACGAACATTTCGTGCCAGATTATCCGCTTTTGAATTTGCACGTCGAGAAATCAAATATGGAGAATAATGTTTCTCTTGAAAAAAACAACAAATTTTTAGGTAACACGTGGTAAAAAATTAGTTGAAAAAATTCAGAGAAATATAATACAATCTCGACTATGTCATGTTCATACATCTTTTTGAATTTAGTCAATTTCTCTTGAAATTATTTCGCTGTCATTTTATTCGTCATATTCTAATATGCAGTCGTCCACCTCGCGACATTTTATCTCTTTTCACGTTCTTTTCGTTAAAATAATTGATTAAATTTTTGATTCATTATAAACTTATATTAAAATTATATTCTCTTTATCTATTTCATTTTTATATTTTATTTTTTCTTGTCTATTATAAAATGTTCTTTTTCCTACATATTAAATTTTATATTTGGATTCTTCCTATTCTCATGCATTGCATTTTCCATGAAACATTGCACTCTAACGTTATTGTTTAAAGAAATCTTGTATCTAATTGTACTTTTAAATCACAATTCTTTCCTTAAATATATTATACAATTTTATATATATTTTATCTTGATTTTGGATACATACTTTTTTCTTGAAAAATAGATATTCTTATTTCGTGTAATCTAAATTCTATAGTTTACTATCATATAAACTTTTTTTAATCTAAATATTTTATAACTCTTGAAAAGGTTAATGTCTTTCTAGCGTGATAACATATTTTTTTGTTTTCTACTTCTCAAATTATATGTATTTGAAAATTATCTATATGCTTCTAATTTTTATTCATATTTTTATCTTATATATTTTTGTGCTGTGTTTTATTAATTCATTAACTTCTATTTTTGAATTATCTATTTGTATATTAACTTCTATTCACATATTTTTGTGTGTTATATTATATTACTTTTTATTTATATTAAACAATGTTATTGTTTATGAAAAAATATTTTCTTTTATTAAAAGATGATAATATAAAAGTATGTGAATTTTTTTTTTAATGTTTCTTCGTTTAATAAATAAATTGAGTGGAAGTTTTATAAAGTCATATATATAATTTAAATTTTGATATCAATCAAAACGATTTAAATGGCAATTTGGTTTGAAATGCACCTATTAAATCTATTGGGTAAGGGGTTCGAATCTTTTTGGTAACATTTTATACCTATTAAAAATGTATGATGACGTGTACGCTGATGTGTCGCCTATGTGGACACCTTAGATGGAGAAAAACTCTCCCATTATATATATAGATTCATGTATCCAAACAATCTTACACTTAGTTCCCTACTATCCATATAACCAAACACATTAAAAAGATTTTAATATTAATTATCAAATTAGAAATATCCATATAGTGATCCAAAATTAATAATATAGGTATTTTGAAGATTTTGTTAAGATTTAAAATTTTTGATTCTCCTATTATTTTTTTTATTTTGTTTAATAAATATTTTGAATCATTATATAATACATAAAGTTAATAAAAATCAATTTTTTGTATATATGTGATTTAAATTTTTAAAAACGAACATATATTCCTTAACTAATGAAAAAGTGTGTATTCAACGTCTCACATCAGCTAAAATGTTTAGATAATGATTTAGAGTCATATTATAAATAAGATCAATGAATCCAAATCCGAATGAGCAGAAAACGAGGAAGCTTAACTTAACAAACATCCAAATTAAAAAAGTTTGTATACGGTTTAATTCGTTTTTTAGTTGAACTCTTTATCGAATATAATAAATTTTTAAAATTTTATACTATATTATGAATTAATATTTAAACATACAAAAATTTTAAAATAACATGGGACGATTATACTGCGGGACATGTTATAAGGCATGACAAGTTTGAATCGACATTAATCCAAATTTAAAATATCATTAACTCGAAGTTTCAATACGGATTACATCCTCATTTTATTATTTTGGTAACACCATCAATATTGGATATGTCGAATGAGACTGATTTGATTAAAATTATATCAAACAAAAATTATACCACGGACTATATCATAGTATATCATTAATTTTCAAACAAACATCGGTTTAGATAAGTTTTCTTAGTACTAAGCTTTGCCCTTTTGACATGATTTTTTGTAGTCAGTCTAGCTTAGTCTAGCTTAGTGCTAAGCTTTATTTGTCTTGTAGCCTACACGAATGTCTTGTAAGTTGTAACACCGTTTGATTAATATAACAACCAGATGAAAGAAAAAGAAAAAAAAAGGATCAGTTTTCTTTTTTTTTTTCCTGATTCGGTTTCGGTTTTTTTAGATATATGAAAAACGGATCTATTTAAACCATTTGATATGGTTTGGTTTCCACTTTTCAGATTTGAGTATTTCGGTTTGGTTCAGATCAGTTATCCGGATTGAACTTCTCTGTTCTCTCACAGATCAAACAACACTAAATAAGACGATAAATAAGATATATTTTTTGAATGATTCAAAACAGCGACTAATAATGTTATCTATAAGCTAATGGTGGCTCAAAAACACATATCTAATATTACAAATCATCCTTAAGAGAAAATTCCAAGGCTCTTAACAAGTGGGAGGCTGAGGAGTTTCTGCTGTCTTTCTCAGTTTTCTTCTATCTCCCTTAACGTATAAAGTACCTTCTTCAGTTGGAGTCTCAATCTTAGCTGAACAAACATATCCCTTAGATTTTCCGTTACTCTCAACACTAAACACAGGAAAACAAATTTTGGTTATCAGCGGATTCGTGCTTATTGAGGCACATACAGTAAAAAAAAACAACCAAACTCCATTTGATATTAGGTATATATAGTCATGTTAGAACATATATGCATTTTCTCTACCATTAGATTGTAATATAACGGATTAGCAAATGCGTTCTGCGTAAAGATAGAATCAATTTTGACTTGAACGTTTGGCGAAAGCAAAGCAAAACTAAGATATATGTGTACCTGTAAACTGGGTTCGGCCACTTTCGCTTGTTGCAAATCTCAATCAACTTGTCTTTTGCATCTTCATTTACAATGTCTTGTCTATCCATAACTATTTCAACGGGCATACTTTCTGACAACTTTCGTACTGCTTCCATAGCAGCGCTCATCTTTGCGTCATCTCTACTATTTTTCTTTTTCCCACTAGCTATTAACTTATCATCAAGATATACGTGAGCTTTATACCTATTGCTGCCCTTTTCCTCATACCTGAAATCGAAATGCTTGCCGTCTTTATCACCCAAACAAGAAAGGGTATGAATTGGTTGAGGTCGCAGCCGCAAATCATCCAATGTATATAATGGCTCGAAAAGACCCCTGAAGCTCTGCAAGTTTGCTTATTTTTCTTAATAACTTGAGAATCATATAACGTCGAATTAGAAACACAAATCTAGTGGAGTACACAACATACCTCCCACAGTCTTTTAATATCAAAATTCATATCAATATAAACAGCTCCAGCTACAGACTCTACAAGGTCAGAGAGTACATTTGTGGTTCTCTCCGATCGGCCATCTGAAGGAACTGGGTCATCCTCTTTGCCCACCACCTTTGAGAACGCTTCAATCTAAAAGATTACACCAAAAGTGTTGTTATCAATCAAGCAAAGATGATCCAATAACACCTAAAACCACAAGAAATGATTAGTAACCTTTTTCTCTGACTTGAATTGGCCTATAAAGAATTGGTGAATATTATGTTTCACGGCAACGCGAGCCAAAGTTTTGTTACATGTATTTCCACGTTGCAGCAGTTCCAACTCCCTGGGTTCGAAATTAGGATACCTGAGGTAGATGTGATTCGTGATGGCGAGAACTAGAGCTGCCCGGCCAACGAACCTAAGCTTCTGGAATAGAGAAGAGGTTTGCCTTAGCGCTTCTTTCAGAAGATTCTTGTTCGTGAAAACGTAATTCAAGATCTTCTCCACTGCTTTCACTGAATCAGAATCCATTTCTGAGCTGACGAGAGATGGATTCTTCTTCTCATCTAAAACTTTCGGCATTTGCGGATTAATGACAAGACTCATTAGAGAAGATTCCAAGGCTCTTATCATGTGGTAGGCTGAGGAGTTTTCTGCTTCCTTTTTCTTTGGTTTTGCATCTCCCTTCATGTGAAAGGAACCTTCTATATTTGGTATCTCAATCTTAACTGAACAAACAAATTTCTGCTCATTTTTTGGCCCTCTTTCTTCCTCAATTCTGGAAAAAGTTAAACACAGTACCAAAAGTGTTAAAGTTAATACCGCATATGCGTGCTTACTGAGTCACACAAAGTAAAAAATATATATAAAAGTCAAACTCACATTGATCTTTAGGAGTATAGTTTTTTAGATAGCATACATGTGATTTCTCACCCTAGATTGTACGGATTTCACTACGGATTAGCAAAGGTATTCTCCTTCTTTGACATTATAAGAGTACTCTAGATTACTCGAAGATATAAATTTGACATCGGATCACGGTCTTTGTTAAGTAGTAAGTAGTACTTAGAAAAGAAAAATTCTTGCTAAAGCAAAGAAAAATGTAGGAATAAAATATACCTGTAAATCGGGAATGGCCACTTATTCTTGACGCAAATCTTATGTAACTTCCCTTTCGGGTATCCAGGTACTTGTTTGATTTCATCGGTTAAAGGATTCTCATAGGCGGCAGGCAAAGAAAATGATTCAGTCGGTAAGCGGAGCTTTTCAATGGAACAAATATCAATTAACTTCCGTTTCGCATCTTCAAGTTCAACATGTGGACAATCCTCATCAATAACCATTTGTTCTTGCGTCATTTCATCGGTTACAGGGTTCTCAGAGGCAGTAGGCAAAGAAAATGACTCAATCGGTAACCGGAGTTTTTCAGTGGAGCAAATCTCAATCAACTTCCGTTTCACATTTTCAATTTCAACATCATATTCTGACAGCTTCTGTACCGCTTCCTCAGCAGCAAGCACCTTTGCGACACTTAAACTTTTAGTACACCCGGAGGCAATAAATATACCATCAAGATAAACCTCAGCAATATTTTCTTTACTGTGATCATCTTTCGAATACCTGAAGTCAATTCGCTTGCCGTGTTTATCAGCCAAACGAAAAAGCGTAAGAAATGGTGGTTTAGGTTGCATCTGTAAATCATCAAGTGTATATATTGGCTCCAAAAGACCCCTGAAGATCTGCAAAAATTCCTCTCTTTTTATTAATAACATAGAAATAAGAAACACAAATGTAATGAAGAACAAACAAACACAACAGACCTCCCAGAATCTTTGTACATCAAAATCCACATCGATATAAACAGCTCCAGCTATTGACTCTACAATGTCACCAAGAACTTTTGGAGCTTCCACCAATCCACCATAAGGAACTGGAACATCTTCTTTGCTCACCGCCTCCGAGAACTCTTTAATCTAAGAGATAAAACAACTTATTGGTACAAAATGTTCTCAAATCATTCAATTCAGAGATTGTGATGATTACCTTTTCAGATGGAGAAGAAGACTTCTCGCCTATGATGAATTGGTAGAGATTGTGTTTGACGGTGGCACGAGCGAACTTCTCGTTATTTACATTAGCAGTTCGCAAGTCACACAACTCCTGGAGTTTGAGATTAGGGTATGCGTGGTGGATGTAATTAGCCAAGGCGACCTCAAGTACAGAGTCGCCGAGGAACTCAAGCCGCTTGAATCGAGGAGATAGCGTTATCGCTTCCTTGAGAAGAGTCTTGTTCTTGAAACTGTAGTTCAGGATCTTCTCCACCGTTTCCATTGAATCCATATCTCCGGCGAAAGTTGAAGGCGGCGTTGAAGAGAAGAGCTTAGATCACAGGTCCAGTCCTAAATGTTTAATAAATTTTTTAAAAGGGGAATTCGGATAACGTTTTGAAAGTTTGAGGAGCAATTTGGAATGATAAGGTTACGTGAAGGATTAAAGAGAAATAACTAATAAATAAAAGTAGATGATCAGAAATTTAGTAGTCATGTGTATTTGAATTGAACCAAACCAGCTCCAAGTTTTGGCCAATTTGCTTTGGTTTTGAGCTGAAATCCATGGAAAAAAATTGATTTTCTCTGTTTTGGGTCGGATGCGTTAAACCGATCAGGTTCATTTTTTTCTAATTAAACAAAAAAAAATATTATTGGCAAAAGAAAAACAAAAAAATATACTGAATTTTATTTTACAAACTGAAATTCTGAATTAACGTAATCAACTTATATGTATTGAATTAACCAAATTTTACGAAAAAATTGAAAACCAGACAGATGGTTTAATTCAAACCGACAAGATTGGTTCACTTCGACAGAGATAATAATCTCATGGAACCAATTACATATTACCTTATCAGATCCAAAATGTTTTTTTTTTGTCAAGCGAACCAAATTTATTCATCAGATTTTTTTTTTATCAAATCAGAAAACCCAACAAACCGAACCGACTTGATGTCCAGGCCTAGAAATTAGAAGCGAATCGAGGTTACAAAAATATTAGGGAAAGTGGATATATATCGAACGCAAACGTAACCGCAAACGCAAAACTATTTAAAACCCTATAATTCGATTTCTTTCGCCGTTTCTTTCGCCGTCTCTAAAACCTCTTCCCTAAACCGTCGCCGACTGTTAAATCTTCAGCCAGCGAAGCGACAGCATCGAGCCCAGGTTTCAATCTCCTTCGAATCTCAAGGTTTTTTCTTCGAATTTCATCTTCAATCTCCTTTTCGAATCACACAAAAATCCTCGCACAAATTTCCGGTGTTCGTAGAGTCGTTAGGTTCACTTATATTACTGTTTCTTCTCTGTAAATCACAATGCTTCGTCTTCAATTCTCAAAACGATATGTTTCTGGGAAATTCTGTGTTTTAATTGAATTTGATGAAATTTTGGAAAATAATTAGTAGGAATTTAGGTTTTCGTGGTTTAGTAATCTTGTGATTACGCAGTGTTAATGTTAATTATATTTCTCCATGGATTTCAGATAACTGACAGCTGATTTGCAAGTCAAGAGCGATGGGACCCGATCAAGAAGATCTAGAGTATGTTTCTTTTGTTAATTCTTCATTGATTTTGGATTTTAATCGAACTATTTAGATGTTTGTCTAATTTTACTCTTTCTATGGAAACAGCTTGACCAATGATGATAATTTCATCGACAAGGAAAAGCTTTCAGCTCCTATCAAGTCTACTGCAGATAAATTCCAGCTCGTTCCCGAGTTCTTGAAGGTACTACACAGAACACAAAAGTCTTTATTTTTGCTTTATACGAGTAGCTGAAACTATGCGATTGGGTTTGTTTACTTTCAAAGTCTTTGATGTTTGGAATGTATGTAATCTTGGTTGCAAAGGTAATTTATACTTCGATTGTGTAATTGTCTTGTTTTTGTAGGTGAGAGGACTTGTGAAGCAACACCTGGATTCGTTCAATTACTTTATCAATGTCGGGATAAAAAAGATTGTCCATGCAAATTGTCGTATTGCATCCGTAACAGACCCATCAATCTACCTAAGGTTAAACTTTCTTTTATCATCTTTTAATCTTGATTTCTTCATGTATGGATATTGATATTTTATTTCATAATAAGTAAGTAGAACCGTTGGTGTTTTTGCAGTCTTTTTTTTTAATCACCGTACAACATTTATATATACATTGAGATTGTTCTATTTATTGGATTTCTGCTGTTTCCTAAACTAACCTTTCGTAGCCAAGTTTTAATGCAGGTTTAAGAACGTCAGAGTTGGTGAACCGTCAATTATGAACATCAATATATCAGAAGAAATTAATCCGCACATGTGCCGATTAGCAGACATGACGTAAAGAGTTCTTTTTATTTACATTCATCATGTGTTTATAGTTCGATATTTGACCATATGTTGCACAGTTGGAATTTGGTGAAATCTTTTGCATTTTCCACCTGTTTCTGTTGTTCCGCATTCTTCTACATCATCAATAACTTTCTTTTTCTCTTGGCTTTGTTAAATGCATTATCACTTCTTGTTGTAATTATCAGATATGCTGCTCCAATATATGTCAATATAGAATATGTTCACGGCAGTCATGGAAAGAAAGCAACAAGTGTAAAGGTAAATGAAAATTTTAATGTATTATACATACTGCTGGTTATTGGAAATTCAGGCTGAATATGATGTTTCTTTATTTCAGAATGATTTTATTATCGGAAGGATGCCTATCATGTTGCGGAGTTGTCGCTGTGTATTACATGGAAAAGATGAAGAGGAACTTGCAAGATTGGGTTTGTATTGTTCCTTTATTTCAAGCATTACATCTTCTTGTTCATCATATTTATTGTATTTCATTTGGATTCTAGGTGAGTGCCCTCTTGATCCTGGAGGATACTTCGTCATCAAAGGAACTGAGAAGGTGATACTTCATACTTCATATATACAATCTACTTGCAGCTATCTTATGGAGTCTATAGATTGCCTAGTAGTCCGCACTTTGACTTTGTGGTTATATGTTGTGTGTTGTTGCATCTCTTTAGTTCAGACTTGATTGTGTGTTTATTTAACTGTTCAACACCGTTCTCGTTCTAATTGGCGTATTTCGGTTTTTAGTTTTTTTCTGTCAACACAGTTATCCGATTTGTCATTGAATCCTTTCCTTTTTACGTGACCTGAAGCCATGCCATTGCGCGTGTTGGTGTTTGATGTTCATTTCAGGTGTTGTTGATACAAGAACAACTTTCGAAGAACAGAATTATTATTGATTCTGATAAAAAAGGGAAGTAAGTGATCTCTTACAGTATTTTGGTCCCTGTGGTATTGATGGCTAGCATCCCCATATACATTAATTGTCAAGCAAAATCATTGTGTCATTCTTCAGCAGTATTCTTTCATTATTTACCCACCCGCAATCCAATTATCAATTTTACTATTTACTCTCTTTCTTTTACTACTTATTTTCAGCATAAATGCATCTGTCACAAGCAGCACTGAAATGACGAAAAGCAAAACAGTTATTCAGATGGAAAAGGAGAAGATATATTTATTTCTTCATCAATTTGTAAAAAAGGTGTAGATACATTATCTCCGCTTTAATTGTAGATCTTTCGGTGTTGGATTCCATTGGCTGAGCATGTTATTTTGTCATAGATTCCAATTGTAATTGTCCTAAAAGCTATGGGAATGGAGAGCGACCAAGAGATTGTACAAATGGTTGGAAGGGATCCCCGTTTTAGCGCATCACTCTTACCTTCTATTGAGGCAAGTATTATAGCCCCCTGCTTTTGATCTTGTGTCTAATTTATGGTCTTTTCGTAATGATACTGGTGTTTGAGTGAACCTTTCAATTTATAATAACTCTAGATCTAGAAGCAGCTGTAGTATATGGATGTAAATGTTCGTCATATGAATTTTTGAATCTCTTTCATTTGCGAAAGTAAACTACGAAGCAGCGATCCTTGTGGTTGATTGTTTTGTTCTCCAAATTTTAGTTAGGAAGTTGAATGTCTGATTTTTAAACTCAACTCCCAATACTAACGTGTTGCCAATAAAAATTTCATAATACATAAATAATGATATTTAAATCTGATACCATGCATATTGATCACGTCTGATGCACTTATGAGTCGGTTGGTGATGCATAAAGTTATCAAAGCCACTGCTATGGCTCTTAGAATGGAAGGTTTTGCTTTGACATTCGGAAAATAAATGGTTCTCTCTCTTGCTCTAGCTATTGAAAGTTATAGGTGATGTGTGAGTATCATTTACCCATGGCTCACAAAAGAACTTGCTATACGAAACCAATTTCTTAGCTAGTCCTTTTTCTTATTCTTCCGTGCCATTTTGTTCATCCTTTGGGTTCTGACGAGCCTTGATCTCTGAAGCATCATATTTATCTCTCAAAATGCTTATTTAATTTCAGGAGTGTGTTAGTGAAGGTGTGAATACACAAAAACAAGCACTGGACTATCTTGAGGCAAAGGTGCAGTGTTTAGTTATCTTACAGAGTCATTTAATAGTTTTTCTGTTCAATGGTTGTAGTGAACACATATCGTCTACTTCAAAAATTATCTAAAACCCAGAAAAGATTTTACTTCCCTGTTGAAAAAGAGCTCTTTCTATTGTTAAAAAGACCATAGCTCATATCTCACTCTACTGAAAGAAATCTGTCATACACTTTCTGGTGTATAATTAGTTCCTTCCACCTCATTCTGTGATGTATTGAGAGTAAGTCTGCAATTTATTTCCGTGTTGTTGTCTTCCATTGAGTAATAAACACACTGAACAGAAAAGTAGACTATCAGGTTATGTTGAGATTAACAATAGATTTTGACTTTTGTCAGTTTGCAGCAAGAAATTTGTGACATATTCTTTTATCTGTTTATTACTGTAGGTGAAAAAAACATCATACGGACCTCCACCTGAAAAGGTATTCATTCTTTATTCCACTTTTACACTCTCTTGTTCAACTTTATAAAGATGGATAATATGTTTTTGGCACTGCAAATTTGGATGTGAAAGTTTTCTTGCTAAGTGAAAACTCAGCATTGTATATTTAAATGATTTACTAGGATGGAAGAGCTCTATACATCCTCAGAGATTTATTCCTTGCGCATGTACCTGTAAGTATCTTAATTTCTTTTGGTTTTAAAATTTGTTAACCTTTGCTCTTACTGCTATGTTCTTCTCCTTAAGGTGCGTGACAACAATTTTCGTCAAAAATGTTTCTATGTTGGCGTGATGTTGAGACGAATGATTGAAGCAATGTTAAACAAAGATTCGATGGATGACAAGGTAATATGATGACCTTCTATCTGGAATATTTTTTTTTTTTGTACTTGAAAATATATTTGAAGTCTGGTTATTTTCTGTTAGGATTATTT